CTCTCTCTCTCTCTCTCTCTCTCTCTCTCTCCCTAGTCTCTGTAATGACCTGCCATAACACAGACTGAGAACACTGCTGATTTCTGAAGTTCTGTCGATGGAATGGATGCCTTGCTGGGATTCCAGCATTCTGCTGTGCTTTCTAAGTCTGTATGTGTGCGTGCCTGTCTGAGTGCTTGTCGGCATGAGCGTGTGTGTGACCCTCAAGGGTACCTGCTTGTTTGGCAGGCCCGTAGGGCCGGTACTTACCTGTGGCCGTGGCATTGAGGGTTGCCGCAGGGGAAAACACTCAAGTGGCGGAGCCAGAGGCCCGCGGCACTTAGAGCAGCGGAAAAACACTCGAGTAGCAGGTAGGCCGGTACCGCACCCAGTAGCAATAGATGTGCCGGGTACTCGAGGCCGAGCAGAAGAAGACAAAGTTGGCATTTTCAGAGGCCCAGTAGCGACATAGCTGCTTTGGGTTGTCCTTTGGACAGGAGGCTGAAGCCTCAGTAGTCCGCCATAGCCTCGGCCTGCAATGACGCGAAAGGAGAAGCGTGGCCATGGCTATGGTGGACCTCATGTTGTGCCTGCAGTAGAAGTGGGATTCGGACATTGATTCTGGTTCAGCCATTCAACATTATTATTGTTATTTCTTGTTTGGATAAAGAGGGGAGGAGATAAGGAGCCTTGTCATTGGTCTATGCTGGAGTACATCATCTTCTTCTTCTTTCTTACTTTTTTTTTTTCTTCTTCTTCTTCTTCTTCTTCTTTCCCTCTCTCTCCTCTCTAGTTCATTCATTTCTTTTTGCAATTGGACGGCATTGTACTTTCTAATGAATGTATACTTCGAAATTGGCCAGGATCGTAACATCTCTCTAGATTCACATGGGGCTCCTATCAAGATGCATTTATAAAAAAAGATCGATGGTATCATCCATTAAGATTAGAAAAGTGACGATTCAAAACATGCACATCTGATTGCTTTTTTGATAATTTTATTGTTACAGATAAAAGAAAAAGGGACATGTATGTTGAAATAGGTCATTATTTTTTCATTCTTAGCATTTTTGTTGCATTAGCCTACCAAAAAAAAATCTATCTTTTAATGCCCTCCCCTTCTCTCTCTCTCTCTCTCTCTCTCTCTCTCTCTCTCTCTCTCTCGCGCGCGCGCGCGCGGGCGCATACTGTAACGGTGCAGACCAGAACAAGAACCGACCTCTCTCACATAGTACAAGATAGCGCAGCGGAAGACTAATATACCAATGATCCGAAAAATCAATGTTGCAATGCAGACCAAACATACATCATTCCATGAAGGGGCCTGGTGCTCACACAGGAAGAATGCACCAGTCCCCAACCATACACAGACGAAGAAGAGGGGAAGATGGGAATGCCGTCAACACCAAGTCTTCGGTACAGGTCCCAAATAATCCCTCGTCCAATGTCTCAATCCCAATGTGGAGTCTGGATCCAAATGTCATCAAGTCCCAAACTCACCAATCTCTCTCTCTCTCTCTCTAGTAGTCTGCAGATACTGAGAAGTCAGGTGGCGAGAGGGTGAGGGAGAGATGGTGGACTTAGAAGAAGAAGAAGAAGAACTCTCTCTCTCTCTCTCAGAGTCCGGTACTAACCTGTGAAGGTGGCGCCTTGTTGCAGGTACATCGAAGACGAAGCTGGAGCTATGGCGCCACAGGTAAGTCTCCCTGGCCTCCGCCAGCCATCTCTCTCTCTCCAACGCTACTCTAGCTCCTAATAGCGCCCAGCGCTGAAGACTACTGCTAACGCTACTACTACTACTGCAGCGCTCCTCCAGAGTGCTGCTGCCGAATCCTGAAGACTGCCTCCTGCCTCCTGCACGTGAAGTGCCTGGGAAGTCCTATGAACTACCTCGCGACTACCTGCAGCCTGTAGGGCGGGCCAGTCTTATATAGTGCTGGCCCGTCCGAGAGGCTGCTCTTGCCAATGCCAAAACGTGCCAGACCCTGGCGTTGAAGTTCAAACAAAGGTTGTCTTGAAAACAGGCCAAAAATGGGCTGTGCTAAAACCCTGGTCTGGTGCCTAAGTTTCAGGGCAGGTCGACTTTATGAGGGCCTGAAAATGGCCCTCGTTTTCAGGCTTTTAGGCCGAAACGACACAGGGCCTGTAGGGCCCTGAATTTCCGTCTGGTCGGGCCTTGCAGGCCCGTGTGGCTGCGCAGTATGCCACATTCTCTCTCTCTCTCTCTCTCTCTCTCTCTCTCTCTCTCTCTCTCTCTCTCTCTCTCTCTCTCTCTCTCTCTCTCTCT